CTCCCCAATGCTGAGATTACAGGTATGCACCACCATCCCCAGCTTAATATAGACACTTATGAGACACAAAATTTAATTAAAACAGGATACCAGTAGCTATTATCTGTAATCCTAGGTTAGCTAGTGAGGTAGCAGAAATCTAAGTACCAAGGCTCAAAGCTAACCCAGGCAGAAAAGTCTGAGACTCTATTTCCAATTATTCAGCAACAAGCCAAAACTGGAAGTGTGGCTCAAGCGACAAAACAACAGTTATGACCAAAAAGTCAATTGAGAGCTCAAGACCTTAAGTGCAAGACCCAGTACTAGCACAAAACAAAAAATTAATCTCATTCAAACACAGTTATAGCAAGGATGGGTAAATTACCTCAGTCTGTAAGAGCAGCACATGAAAGTTGGAGATGGATTGTCTATTAATGCCTAGAAATTCAAATTTACTTGTCAGGGTATTTGCCAGTTCTCCGATCTGAAACTAATTCAGAAAAGACAAAAAAATTAAACGAAATTAGGATTAGTATTATTTTCTGTATTATGCAGTCTTTCATTTACTATTAGATACTAGAAATGTAGTTGCATGGAGGATTAAAACTAATTTATAGTAAATAATTCATATAATAATGACGGCCTATAGGAATCAAATGCTAGTCTATTCACACCATTCATAAGACATTCTGACAAATATGTAGTTCACCAGCTGAAAATAGATTGTAGCAGGGTGTTGGTTGCTCATGCCTATAATCCTAGCTACTTAGGAGGCTGAGATCTGAGGATCACGGTTCAAAGCCAGCCCAGGCAGGTAAAGTCTGTGAGACTCATCTCTAACCAACCACTCAGAAAACTGGAAGTGGGTTGTGGCAAGTGGTAGAGTGATAGCCTTGAGCTGAAGAGCTGAGGGACAGTGTCCAGGCCCAGAGTTCAAGCCCCACAACAGACAGGGGAAAAAAAAGATTTAAACCATGCACTTGTAACCCCTCTGTACAGTATGTTCACAAATAAAATTTAAAAAAAAAGATTTAAAATCTGCCATTATATACAATTACATACAACCTAGGAATTAATTAACGATAGCTTCATTTTTTCATAATCCATTTTCCTAAAAGGCAGGATACTAGGGTGAGAATCTTCAATCACATGAGAGCCAGGCAGGTATGAAATGTGTGTGTGTAAGAGGGAGAGAAAGGGAGATAGAGAGGGAACGTGTAGGAGAGGGAAAGAGAGAAGAAGAGTAGAGATAGAGAGGGAAGGAGTGAGGAAGGGTGAGGAAGGAAGATAGGGAGGAGAGTGGAATAGGCCTTGAACTGACTAATTGGCTGTTGCTCTACCATTTGAGCCACATCTTTTATTTCTGGCTTTATTGCTGGTTAATTGGAAATAAAGAGTCTCATGGACCTTTCTGCCAAGGCTGGCTTTAAACTTTGACCCTCAATCTCAGCCTCCTGAGAAGCTTGCATCTGGCAAGATTCAGGCTTTACAAGGACAGCAACTTGCCCCACTGGAATCTTTGTTCTGGCATTTGTTAGGTAATTCTCTCCAGCCACAAGACATCCATCCATCCATCCATCCATCCATCCTTAGCTTTGTGGTAACAAGGTAGTTCTCAACCTTGATTATGATAGCAGATGCATAAATCTACACATGGGATAAAGTTGCAAAGAATATCCAACTGTGAAACTGTATATAAATAATCCATGTGACCATCATGGAGAAACAAGTATGAAATGTGGTCCAACAACCCAGTGTATCAGTCTTATGACAGTAGGGACTCTTGACACATATTACAAGGGGATCTGGGAACACTACACAGAATAGACAGGATGCAGGATCCACTTATGAGGTCCTGAGAATAGCAGAGTCCAGCAGACAGCAGAGTGGTAGGAACTAGGGGCCAGGAATCAGTGTTAATGGGAACAGAGTTTTAGGTGGAAAGGATGAAAGAGTTCTGGAAAATGAATGGCGATGATGGTTGAACAACAGTGTAAA